GGTCATATGTATGGCACCCCCAACTACAAGGAGGGCACCCCCAACTACAAGGAGAGCACCCCGTGGGGTGATTATGAAGAAGAAAGGGACCAGGAGGGGTGGGGGCTAATTATGGAGCCCACCTTCCTTTCTAAAGGGGTAGTGGAACAAAGCCTGTGCCCATGGAAAGGGACCATGCAGGAGAAAAAAAAAATGATTGGGCCCAGACAAGCAGGCAGGCAACAGATAAAGAAATTGGAAAAGAAGTTGGAAGCCCTGAGGGCATAGTTGGCAGGAGTACGGAAAGGAATAAATGCAGACATGGGAAATTCAGACCCTTGAAATAGTATTTGGAATAGAAAAATCTGCGTTGATTAAGGTGTCATTTGGAAGGATAAGCAAGTGATTTAGGGAAAGAGTGAGAAGTTAACTCTGCAGAGGCTGGAGGGAATTAAGCAGTTAAATGTTGTAACAGTTTTAAAAAGTAAAAGTGTTATAGAAAGAAAATTCCTGTTTTTTTTGCAGCCATTCTGAAGGAAAAATGGGCCCTTTTCCAAAGGAATGTCTGTAAATAATCCAGGCAAAGAGACTATCTAATTGAAATCATTTGACTATGGACAATTTACTCAAATTTGCTAAAAGAATATAAAGAACTTAACTGCCCCAAATGTATAAAGGGAAGGTAATTTATATACAGCTGTGTAAAAACAGAGCAGTGTATATTGTGGAAGGGGTAAAAGAAATGCAAACATACCATGCTACTTAATTCAAATCCTATTAGGGCTCCAAAGGGAGCCACAATAGGTTGTGTTTTCTTTTTCAGATTTTTGTATGTTTTAAAAGCAGGAGTTGAAAGTGAAAAATAATCAAAACACCAGTGAAAGTTGATTGTATCCCTTTTAAGACAGAGTCTCTAAGCTGCTAATGGCTTTGAATCCAAAAGCAAGCCAGAAGGTGTCTGTGTTAATGCAAATTACCTAACTGATAAAGGTAGAAGCCATTGAAACCTGGCCTGCCTATAGAACAAACACAGGGAAATATGGGGGTAATTCCTCTGTTTTGCCTGCAATCAGCAAGGGTATTTGTAAAAAAAAGGAATATTTTAAGCAATAATCTGCCGCCCCCAAAGGGGTAGAAATATGGGGGTGTAGGGTTGTCTTTCAAAACAACAGGAAAAGCTGATACCAGCTGAAAAGCAACCCAGAATACCATGAATCTACTGTCATAATAGAAATTGTGTTTTGTGTTCTATATTTTGTTTTGTGGTGCTTGTTTTGTTGCTAGCACTATTGTGTACCAAATGCTGCAGGGAAACCTCCTTAGGTAGCAGACACCATATCAGGAGAAGTTGTTTTTGGAGCAGGGATTATAAATACTGTAGACCTGGAGGTGATTAAGAATAAGAGTGCTAAAGGAGTTGGCGGATGTGATTGCAGAACCATTGGCCATTATCTTTGAAAACTCATGGCAATCCGGGGAAGTCCCGGAAGACTGGAAAAAGGCTAATGTAGTGCCCATCTTTACAAAGGGAAGAAGGAGGATCCTGGAAACTACAGGCCAGTCAGCCTCACCTCAGTCCCTGGAAAAATCATGGAGCAGGTCCTCAAGGAATCAATTCTGAAGCACTTAGACGAGAGGAAAGTGATCAGGAAGAGTCAGCATGGATTCACCAAGAGCAAGTCATGTCTGACTAATCTAATTGCCTTCTATGATGAGATAACTGGCTCTGTGGATGAGGGGAAAGCGGTGGATGTGTTGTTCCTTGACTTTAGCAAAGCTTTTGACACAGTCTCCCACAGTATTCTTGCCAGCAAGTTAAAGAAGTATGGGCTGGATGAATGGACTATAAGGTGGATAGAAAGTTGGCTAGATTGTCAGGCTCAACAGGTAGTGATCGGTGGCTCCATGTCTAGTTGGCATCTGGCATCAAGTGGAGTGCCCCAAGGGTTGGTCCTCGGGCCGGTTTTGTTCAATATCTTCACTAATGATCTGGAGGATGGGGTGTATTGCACCCTCAGCAAGTTTGCAGATGACACTAAACTGGGAGGAGAGGTAGATACGCTGGAGAGTAGGGATAGGATACAAAGGGCCCTAGACAAATTAGAGGATTGGGCCAAAAGAAATCTGATGAGGTTCAACAAGGACAAGTGCAGAGTCCTGCACTTAGGATGGAAGAATCCAATGCACTGCTCCAGACTAGGGACTGAATGGCTCAGCAGCAGTTCTGCAGAAAAGGACCTAGAGGTTACAGTGGACGAGAAGCTGGATATGAGTCAACAGTGTGCCCTTGTTGCCTAGAAGGCCAATGGCATTTTGGGATGTATAAGTAGGGGCATTGCCAGCAGATTGAGGGACGTGATCATTCCCCTCTATTCGACATTGATGAGGCCTCATCTGGAGTACTGTGTCCAGATTTTGGCCCCCACACTACAAGAAGGATGTGGAAAAATTGGAAAACGTGCAGCGGAGGGCAACAAAAATTATTAGTGGACTGGAACACATGACTTATGAGGAGAGGCTGAGGGAAATGGGATTATTTAGTCTACGGAAGAGAAGAATGAGGGGGGATTTGATACCTGCTTTCAACTACCTGAAAGGGGATTCCAAAGAGCATGGATTTAGACTGTTCTCAGTGGTAGAAGAGGACAGGACAAGGAGTAATGATCTCAAGTTGCAGTGGGGGGGGAGGGGTTTAGGTTGGATATTAGGAAAAACATTTTCACTAGGAGTGTGGTGAAACACTGGAATGCGTTACCTAGGGAGGTGGTGGAATCTCCTTCCTTGGATATTTTTAAGGTCAGGCTTGACAAAGCCCTGGCTGGGATGCTTTAATTGGGGATTGGTCCTGCTTTGAGCAGGGGGTTGGACTAGATGAACTCCTGAGGTCCCTTCCAACCCTGATATTCTATGATTCTATGAATAAATTAAGCTCTCTGTCCCAGTTACAGGACAGCCTAATACAAAAAAAAAGAAAGGAAATGAAAAACCATATTGTACATGGGAAGTACTGAAATGCAGATACTTGCTTTGTCCACCTTGGAACACAAAATGTTTTGGGTAATATCAGGAAACACTAAGGTTTTGATACACTTGCTAAAGCAAAGCAAAAGATCACTATTTGATACTTATCAATACGAATGGATGCAGTGTGTTTCTGGCATAGTAAGGCCAGACCTTTTAAGTGGGGAAATTGTTGTTAAAAACACACACCAACAAGCTCTGGGAACAAGGATATGAAAAGTTAGCCCACTCCTCATATGGCACATACAATCCTTCTGGCTACCCCAGACCTCGGGCCAGTGGGCTGGGGAGTGAGGGAAGCTATTGGACACCAGAGGTTGTACCGAGTGGACTTCTCAAAAGAGGGTGTGCTTGTCCTTCCTGTTACTCCAGAGCCCTGTAGTAAAGACTTTTCACTAGGATCCTGTATGTGGGATGAATTGGATAATGAGACCAAAGTTCTGTATAATGGGGAATGTGTATGTGTTAATTCCTGGAAAGAAGTGTTTTGGGAGGATGGAAGTGTTAGCAACCCACTAGTAGACAAATGTGAATGTAATGTAAGTACTGTGTTTACCAATAATTACATTTACTATTTGCCACAACCCAAAAAGTCTCAGCTTTGCCCAGTTGAGGGAGGAACTATGTGAAACCCGCGAAGCCATAGAGACCGCTTTAGATTCAGAAAAGGCCAAGTGTAAGGAATCATTATTAAAGATATCCAGGGGTAGCAAATTGAAGATATGGTAATGTTGCAAAAGCTGGGGAAGGCGGCCCACACTCTGGAACCAAGTGGGTAGGTCCGTACCCCATTGTGAATCACATCTCCCCGGTAGTGTACCAAACTAGGGATATGCAACCTAGCTGGAGCTACTATAAAGTGGATCCATAACTTGCTGGAAAACCATTCCCAGAGAGTCATCATCAGTGGTTCAGAGTCATGCTGGAAGGGCATAACGAGCGGGGTCTTGCAGGGATCCGTTATGGGTCTGGTTCTGTTCTATATCTTCATCAACGATTTAGATAATGGCATAGAGAGCACACTTACAAAGTTTGCAGACAATGCCAAGCTGGGAGGGGTTGCAATGCTTTGGAGGATAGGATTAAAATTCAAAATGATCTGGACAAACTGGAGAAATGGTCTAAAGTAAACAGGATGAAATTCAATAAGGACAAATGCAAAGTACTCCATTTAGCAAGGAACAATCAGTTGCACACATACAAAATGGGAAACAACTGCCTAGGAAAGAGTACTGCGGAAAGGGATCTGGGGGTTATAGTGGACCATAAGCTAAATATGAGTCAACAGTGTAACACTATTGCAAAAAAAGCAAACAGCATTCTGGGATGTATTAACAGGAGTGTTATAAGCAAGACACAGGAAGTAATTCTTCTGCTCTACTCCGTGCTGATTAGGCCTCAACTGGAGTATTGTGTCCACTTCTGGGTGCCACATTTTAGAAAAGATGTGAACAAACTGGAGAAATTCCAGAGAAGAGCAATAAAAATTATTAAAGGTCTAGAAAACATGACCTATGAGGGAAGATTGAAAAAATTGGGTTTGTTTAGTCTGGAAAAAGAGAAGACTGAGAACGGGCATGATAACAGTTTTCAAGTACATAAAAGACTGTTACAAGTAGGAGGAAGAAAAATTGTTCTTCTTAACCTCTGAGAATAGGACAAGAAGCAATGGGCTTACATTTCAGCAAGGGAAGTTTAGGTTGGACATTAGGAAAAACTTCTTAACTTTCAGGGTGGTTAAGCACTGGAATAAATTGCCTAGGGAGGTTGTGGAATCTCCATCTTCGGAGATTTTTAAGAACAAGTTAGACAAACCCCTGTCAGGGATGGTCTACATAATAATTAGTCCTGCCATGAATGCAGGGGACTGGTTAAATGACCTCTCGAGGTCCCTTCCAGTCCTATGATTCTATGAAACTATCTACATTTGCCATCCTCTTGGCTCAAACTCCACTCTCAAAATATATAACTCTGATTTTATTTGTCTTCATTGTTTTTAGATTTCTACACTCAAAGATAAGAACTCTTGTCAATGGCTTTAAGGTAAGAACACATGTTTTTACCAAAATATGTGTTTGGGTGTGTCTATTATATATTAGAAACACATTTATAATGCACAACTTCCTGTGTTTAAACCCAAACTCCCCACAACGAACAACTACAAGGCAGAAAATAGAAATTTAAGACAAAGGTAATAGTGAAACAGAAAGTCAAATCATGACCTATATTAAAAAAAATATCTCCCATGAGCTGCTTTTCTCCCTCCAAAATGTTTGTCTAATATACTTTCTTCCTGGTTACAGGATTTTTTTTTTGCCTAGTCTGTTTTCAGAAGAGATGAGAAGAAGCATTTTTTATTTTACATTTCACAGTGAGCTAGGTTATCAGATTATTCTCAGTTCAAAGTAGAGATGAAAGCCACTACAAAAATATATGGCTGCTCTTTTTCTAAGAAAAAAATCTTTGTAGAGATGATATGGTTTCTGGTGTTGTACGCAACCATTCTATGCTGAGAAGTTTGTTTTTAGGAAAGGAAATAAGAGAATAACATTGGCTGAAGCTACAAGGGACTGTAGAGATGGAATGGGCCAGATGTTGAGTAGTGCAGAAGCCCAGTGGTTTCAGACCTGCAGGAACTCTGCAGGGGCCTGGACAGTTGTCAGGATGGCATGGCAGCCACTTTATTCTTGGGACTTGAAGAAGCCTAGAAGGGGTAGGTAGCTCATTTTTATGAGCTACCTACCTTCACCTCCCTTTCTGTCTGTCTGTCTTTCCCTTGCAGGGATCATGGAGCTTACTTTGCCCTAGCCAATGCTGGGGGGAGCAGAAAAAGGTGTACCTCTGTGCCACTCAAAAAACAAACAAACCACTTTTCCTATACAGTACTGAGAGGAGGATTGTGTGCCATTTCTCTGACCTGACTGCCCTGGCATTGAGCTATCCACTGTATTTCTATCCTGATAACTCCATTTTGGAGCTGTCAGTCGGCTCCTCTGGTCTCAAATCTAGCTATGTTTTGCTGGTGAGAGACCCATTTCAGTCCAGACTGGCAAGTAGCTTACTGCAGGACCGAAAGGGGACTATCAATACCAAATTAGGGTAAAACCAAGATTGTGGATCCATGAGGCAGAAGAAATGCCAAATAGAGAAAATCTGTAATTTTTCAACAGCTTAATGGAAAATAACATCCTCGTTAAAGGGGAAAACATGAATAGCACTGTCAGCTTGTCAACCTGACCCTTGCAATTAAATAAACTTCAGTTCCACTTATTTTTTGCTAGTCTTTTGAGAGGGGAGAAATATTCTTTTGATTGGGAAAAAAGTGTAAAACTTTATTTTTAATGTGGTTCAACTAAAGGTTAACTAAAGGAATGCTCAAAAAGAACAATGAGCAAGAGGTAACAACGGATACATAAAAAAAGATTGGCTATTATACAATTAAATAATTTTTGGTGAGTACTTAAATTAACTCACAATTTGCTGAACTCCCCCTTCAGACATGTGAATGTACTGATACACTTAACTGAAAGGAGCAGAAGTGGCTCCTTTTGAAGTCAATGGCAATACACCCTTTGGCTTCAATAGTGGAGGATCAAGTCTTTAGGTCCTGTGATAGGGCGCAATGAACATACCTGACAGCACTTTGGAGAGATAAAAAAACAGACTTAACTTATAATGAAAACCTGATGGGTAGGGGCTGGGTGATTATAAAGCCAGAAAGTTAGCAGCAGAAGGGATCGATAGTGAGATAGACTCTGCTGTTACTCTCTGGGGGCTGAAGCAGCAAGAAATGGTCCAGGAAGGCAGCAAAGAATCTGAGGGAGTTATGCTTCTAGTTATAGGGTCCCTGGGCTGGAATCCAGAATAGAGGGAGGACTGGGTTCCCCTACCAGCCACAAAGGAAGGTGGGCTGAAACCTCGGAGGTAAGCAGTGTAAGGGATCAGACAGAAGATCTGCTATAAGATTATTGAAATATAGCTTGAGTGGACTCTCTGTTTTCCTGGAAGGGGAGACTAAAGTGTGACATGGACAGAGGGCCAACTTGTGGGAAAGAGAGATCACTGCAGTGATGGAGTGACTGTTGACAGGGGTTGCTGTATGAAGCGAGAGCCACTATGCCATGCCAAGCCACATAGAAGTGCTCGTGTGTTGAGTGAACCCCTTCACAGGTCCTGATCCTGCAAAGCAGTGTTACTTACAAGCCATCTCATTGACTTCAGTGGGACAAGTCATATGTTTAGGTGCTTTACTGGCTGGGGGCTGGGCCCTCTAGACAACTTTAGATGAGAGAAAACCTGGAGAAGCAGAACTAATGACATATGGGGAATAGATAAAAATGTAGTAGCACTATCCCATGGTAACTAAAACTCCATTTATAATGCTCAACCACCTCCTCCAATAGAAATACTCTTGAGAGGGCCAGAAAACCTCAGACATTCCTAGGGTCACTACATCAGAAAACATGGAGTTTTTCATAGAATCAAAGAAGATTAGGTTTGGAAGAGACCTCAGGAGCTCATATAGTCCAACCCCCTACTCAAAGCAGGACCAGCTCCAACTAAATCATCCCAGCCAGGGCTTTGTCAAGCTGGGCCTTAAAACCTCTAAGGATGGAGATTCCACCATCTCCCTAGGTAACCCATTTCAGTGCTTCAGCACTCTCCTAGTGAAATAGTTTTCCCTAATATCCAACCTAGACCTCCCCCACTGCAACTTGACACCATTGTTTCTTGTTCTATCATCTGCCATCACTGAGGACAGCCTAGCTAATCCTCTTTGGAACCCCCTTTCAGGTAGTTGAATGCTCCTGTCAAATCTCCCCTCACTCTTCTCTTCTGCAGACTAAATAACCCCAGTTCCTTCAGCCTCTCCTCATAAGTCATCCGGATCTAATGCATCCAAGGGTGCTGAGGGAGTTGGCTGATGTGATTGCAGAGCCATTAGCCATTATCTTTGAAAACTTGTGGTGATCGTGAGGGGAGGGAGGAGGTCCCAGGCAATTGGAAAAAGCCATATATAGTGCCCATCTTTAAAAAAGGGAAGAAGGAGACTCTGGGGAACTATAGACCGGTCATGTCCTGGAAAGATCATGGAGCAGTTCCTCAAGGAATCCATTTTGAACCACCTGGGGGAGAGGAAGCATATCTGGAACAGTCAACATGGATTCACCAAGGGCAAGTCATGCCTGACCATAGGTGCTAGAACTAGGGGTGCTGCAGCACCCCCTGGTTTGAAGTGATTTCCATCATATGCAGGGTTTATAGTTTGGTTCAATGGCTCTCACGCAGCGGACGTGATATATTTTGACTTTAGCAAAGCTTTCAATATGGTCTCTCACAGTATTATTGTCAGTAAGATAAAAAAGTATGGTTTGGATGAATGGACTATAAGGTGATAGAAAGCTGGCTAGATTGCCGGGGGTAAATGGGTAGTGATCAATGGCTTAATGTCTAGTTGCCAGCTGGTATCAAGCAGAGTGCCCAAGTGGTCAGTCCTGGGGCTGATTTTGTTCAACTTTTTCATGAATTATCTGGATGATGGGATGGATTGCACCCTCAGCTAGTTCACAGATGGCACTATGCTGGGGGAGAGGTAGATCCTATGGAGGGTAGGGATAGGGTCTAGCGTGAACTAGACAAAGTGGAGGATTGGGCCAAAATAAATCTTATGAGATTCAATAAGGATAAGTGCAGAGCTGGGAACCAACTGCCGAAGCAGCAGTTCTTCAGAAAAGGACCTGGGGATTACAGTGGATGAGAAGCTGGATATGAGTCAACATTGTGCCCTCGTTGCCAAGAAGGTTAACGTCATATTGAGCTGCATTCGTAGGAGCATTGCCAGCATATCGAGGGAGGTGATTATTCGGCACTGGTGAGGCCACATCTGGAGTACTGCGTCCAGTTTTTGGCCCCCCAGTACAAAAAGGATGCGGACAAATTGGAGAGAGTCCAGCAGAGTGCAATGAAAATGATTAGGGGGCTGGAGCACAAACCAGGGGGTGCTGCAGCACCACTAGTTCTAGCACCTGTGGTCAGGCATGACTTGCCCTTGGTGAATCCATGTTGACTGTTCCAGATATGCTTCCTCTCCCCCAGGTGGTTCAAAATGGATTCCTTGAGGAACTGCTCCATGATCTTTCCAGGACTGAGGTCATGCTGACCGGTCTATAGTTCCCCAGAGTCTCCTTCTTCCCTTTTTTAAAGATGGACAATATATATGGCTTTTTCCAATTGCCTGGGACCCCTTCCCTCCTCCCCCAATCACCGTGAGTTTTCAACGATAATGGCTAACGGCTCTGCAATCACATCAGCCAATTCCCTCAGCACCCTTGGATGCATTAGATCCGGGCCCAGGGACTTATGCACGTCCAGCTTGTCTAAGAAGTTTGTAACCTGTTCTTTCACCACTGAGGGCTGCTCACTTTCTCCTCATACTGTGCTGCCTAGTGCAGCAGTCTGGAAGCTGACCTTGTCTGTGACGACCAAGGCAAAAAAGCATTGAGTGCTTCAGCTTTTTCCACCTCATCTATCACTCAGTTGCCTCCCCCATTCATTGAGGGTCCCACACCTTCCCTGACCTTTTTCTTGTTGCTAACATACCTGTAGAAACCCTTCTTGTTACCCTTCACATCCCTTGCTAGCTCCACTCCCATTGTGCTTTGGCCTTCCTGATTACAACCCTGCATGCTCAAGCAATATTTTTATACTCCTCCCTAGTCATCTGTCAAAGTTTCCACTTCTTGTAAGCTTCTTTTTGTGTTTAAGCTCACAGATGATTTCTCTGTTAAGCCAAGCCGGTCACCTGTCATGCTGCTATTCTCTCTGCACATTGGGATGGGTTGTTCCTGTGCTCTCAATAAGGCTTCTTTAAAATACAGCCAGCTTTCCTGGACTCCTTTCTCCCTCATATTAGCGTCCCAAGTGAACCTGCACATCAGTTCCCTGAGGGAGTCAAACTCTGCTTTTCTGAAGTCTAGGGTCTGTATTCTGCTGCTCTCCTTTCTTCCTTTTGTCAGTATCCTGAACTTGACCATCTCATGGTC